CCGTCTGTCCCCATGACCTCTCTCTCACTCACTCTCTCCCTGTGACCTCTCTCTCACTCACTCTCTCCCTGTGACCCCTCTCTCACTCACTCTCTCCCCGTGATCTCTCTCTCATTCACTCTCTCCCCGTGATTACACATTGTTTGTGAACTCTCTCCCTTGAAGCTGGAATTGAACTTTCTGGAAGTTGTTCTTTTCTGTGGAAGTGTGTGTGTGGACACATCCTGCTCCATCACGGAGGCAGAGTCTCGGTTATTCCTGGGGCGTAAAAGTGTGTTTGCTCTTGTGTGGAATCATTACTGAATGAAATGATTGAAGTTGTTAAACTGAGTTTAATGGCCTTCTCTTGCAGCCATTGGGCAGCCAGGAACTGAGATGTTCAATATGCCAGCAATGACCCCAACAGGTGAGTCCTCAGTACTATGCAGGATTACTCTATCCTTTATCCAGTTCCCAACAGACAGGCACAGGCAACAAACCCTCTCACAGTGACCAGCTCTGGGTCTTACTGAGCTCCGGGAATTTGGATCCACACCCCCTGCTGTTCCCGCACCGCCAGCTGCTAACAATGTTATTTTGAAAGCCAGGGAATAGAGTTTATCCAGAATTCCTGCAGAAGTGTGTCCTACAAAGCAGTAGTGTACACTGTTCTACAGTCAAATGTTGACTGGCTAAGGCTGTTCTAGATGAAGTTTGGCAGGTTCTAACTCAGAAACAGCCCCTGTCACTGTGCAGATCGTTGTCAGTGGGATCTTGTCCTATCTTTTCAGAACAGACCATTTCCTGTGACCCTGACTCTCTCACTCTCCCCCATTGTTGCTGGGAGACTTACAGCTGCGGCTCACTCAGTGATCTTCCAGGGGCAGGTCCCTCCCCCAACTAACACTCTTTCCCCTTCAACCCCCAACACCATCCACCCCTAATGGCCCTCTTCAACCCCCGCAGCCCACCAAACCCCCCAGCTCTGTAGCCACTCTGCCAGGATTCACATTCTACACAATCAATTAGTCTTTGGGGAGACGTTAAAATGACCTTGAAACTGACCTGAGCAGAGGCTTTGACATTCTCCTTTGAAAAAGGATTGCTTAACCAATCAATCTCGACCCAATTCATATTTTCATGTCCATAAGTTTCATCCTCTTCAAATCTTTTAATCTTGTGCAGATAGGCACGCAGGCATTGGGAAAAAACACCAAAAATGTCTCCTGTAAATTGTGTCAACATTATCTGCTGAATTGAGAGCACGAGTCATTCTAGTATCTCCGTCAAGCATCATAACAAGGCAACAAAAACAGAAGTTGCTGGAAATGCTCAGAAGGTCTGGCAGCATCTGTGAAGAGAAATCAGAGTTAACGTTTCAGGTCTAGTGACCCTTCCTCAGAACCTTCCTCCCTGGGGAACACCTATCCCTCATTCCCCCCACTCCCTGGGGAACTCCTGTCTCTCATTCCCCCCACCCTTCAGGGGGGTGTGGTGGAGTCTCCTGTGCTGGTAAAGATTTTGAAAGTCACTGAGATATGATTCCAGCAGTGAGATGTTTGGTTGTATTTCTGCTGAAATAAACCTTAAGTATTATCAATGTGCTGGCTTTAGTAACAGTTTAAATATGTTTTATTAACCATTACTAACCAAGAATATCCTTCACTAAGTGTTACTAACCATGACAGATTAAAAACACTCCAACAAAAACATTCAGAGATAAGTAGGAACTGCTGATGCTGGAGAATCTGAGATAACAAGGTGTAGAGCTGGATGAACACAGCAGGCCGAGCAGCATCAGAGGAGCAGGAAGGCTGACGTTTCGGGTCGGGACCCTTCTTCAGAAATGTTGGTTCCGTAGGCAGGTACTGAGAAAGGTGAATCAGAGATAGTAGGAACTGCAGATGCTGGAGAATCCGAGACAACCAGGCCTGAAACGTCAGCCTCTCTGCTCCTATGATGCTGCTTGGCCTGCTGTGTTCATCCAGCTCTACACCTTGTTGTCACTGAGAAAGGTGATGTGGCTGTAGTACCTGGTTTGCTTCAGGACGTTTCTGAAGAAGGGTCTAGGCCCAAAACGTCAGCTTTCCTGCTCCTCTGATGCTCCTCAGCCTGCTATGTTCATCCAGCTCTACACCTTGTTATCTCCAACATTGATGCAATCAGATGAAATGGGGAATAAGTGAAGGGGCTTTGGAGTTTCAAGTCACCCCCACAGGGGTCTGAGGCTGTTTCAAGGTCCCCCAGAGCAATCTAAGCCTGTTTCAAGTCACCCCCACACCCAACTGGGGCGTGTGCCTGTTTCAAGTCACCACCCACCCACCCACAGAGGGGTGCAGCTGTTTCGAGTCTTCCCCCACCCACAGATGGGTGCGGCTGTTTCAAGTCTTCCCCCACCCACAGACGGGTGCAGCTGTTTCGAGTCTACCCCCACCCACAGACGGGTGCAGCTGTTTTGAGTCTTCCCCCACCCACAGAGGGGTGCGGCTGTTTCGAGTCTTCTCCCACCCACAGACGGGTGCGGCTGTTTCGAGTCTTCCCCCACCCACAGAGGGGTGCGGCTGTTTCGAGTCTTCCCCCACCCACAGACGGGTGGGGCTGTTTCGAGTCTTCCCCCACCCACAGACGGGTGCGGTGTTTCGAGTC